ACAAATTTAACAGAAAATGCTACATACCACTTTATCTCTCTCACTGGCATTCGCCTTGGAGTTGCTGTTGCCCTTTGCAGTCTTCACCACTTGACAAACAGTTTCTCCTTCAATGTGCCCAAACACGCATGGCATCGTCCTGCCTTCAACACGCAGGACGCTGCTTGGCTGATGCACGCCTGTTTTCAGCTTGTTCTCATAAAATTCCTCTGAGGGGAACTGGCAGATGTCCTGGTGCTGTTAAAATGGAACACAGCAGCAGATTAGTGTCAAAATGTCCTGCTGGAGGGGTCAGTTAGGACGTATCTGATGTCCTCACCATTCTGTACTGAGTATCCAGCATCACAGCACTTTTGTGGTGTATGGTGTAGTAGCGCTCAAAAAGAGACCTGGACATCCCCAATCTCTTTACACTAGGATTCTTCACAATTGGCTGGAGCTGTTTGTGGTCACCAATGAGCACCACCTGGTAAATAATCAGCAAGTTTAGAGGAGGTGAGTGTGACCCCCCAAAATAAACAACTTTGCTTGACACCTTTATGTTATTAATCCTTAAAATATTTCATACCCTGAGAAAACAAGGGGGGCGGGGGGCAGTCTATGTTCAAGAACATTTTTCTTATTTATTAAGTCACATACAATACTTTCAATTTATTTTTCCTATACTTTCTTCTCATTATCCAGGGCAGTATTGGGGAACTTCCCCCACTTGACGCAGCTTCAAAAAAGTTTATCAAGCCGCTATACATCAGGTTCGATAGGTAGGAAAATCCAGAACCTAACATTTCTGCTTTATCCAGGATCAACGCGAGACAAACAGTGGGATAATTCAAAGTGTTTATTTAAATTAAGAGGGCTGAGGATTCGTTGTATCAGGCTAGGATGTCTATCACTGGAAACTCTGGTTTAACAGTTCAGTTCGTGCCCTGAGTGCTCGGTAGGATCCAACCGACAGAGTGTCCCAGATGCTGCAGCCCCAGAGAACATGCATGAGTCCGAAGCCAGGTCAGGGAAACAGATCAGAACAGGAAGGCTCAGAGGTCCAGGAGTCCAAAGCCAGGTAAGGCATACAAATCAGGACAGGAACATGCTGGTTCAGAGGTCCAGGAGTCCAAAGACAGTTTAGGCAAATGGTTCAGATGGGAAAAGAGCGGCTCAGTGGTTTTGAAACAGAACAGGTCAGGATCGGGTAATCAGTACCGCTCAGGTACGCTGAAAACCACTCTCTCCAAAAAACATGTGGGAACTGGCACGCTCAGCGGCAGAACAGCTCAGAATCAAGAAATCAGAAAGGTGTGCTAAAAACTTCTCTTATCTTGTTCTTCACTGCCTGGTGAGAACAAGATAATCTCACACAGATATATGGCTGCAAGCCACTTAAATACAGGCAGAAGCAGGTGGATCAGATGTGCAGTGAATGAGCAACCAGGTAGAATTGGACTGGTGAATGGGGTTAGCAATCAAGTCACTAATCAGCACCAAGACCGTGACAGTTTAATAATAATAATAATAATACATTTTATTTAACAGCACCTTTCTTGACACTCAAGGTCACTTTACAAATAATACAAAAAAATAAATAAAAAGAGATGAAAATACAAAATACAGTTTAAATATGTATTACCTAAAGCCAAGTTTGCTCTATGAGGAGGCGTCACACGAATGTTTGAATTTGACTGAGGTGTCCAGATGACCCTTCATAAGGCAAGAGCAGCTTATTTCTCCTCATTAATAGAGGAGAATAGAAATAATCCTAGATATCTTTTTGATACTGTTGAAAAAACTCCCCCAGAGCCATAGCTCTGTTGAACCGTCCATCCCAACTGTCCTTAGCAGTAATGATTTTACTGGATTCATTACAAATAAGGGTAATGATCTTGGTACTGATGACTGGCTTAAATGTTCACTCTATTCACCTGCCTAGCTCCGCCCAGTTTCTCATTACTGTTCATCTCATCTACCTGTTCCTGCCTCTATTTAAGCTGCTTGCTCCCAGTCATCAGAGGCCATATTATTCGAGCCATAGGTGAGAGTTCTCCAGCACACCCTGTGTGTTGGTCTGATGCTTGATCCTGACT